TTAATCACTGGGGCTCACTCCCATAGGGTTCAGTGTTAATCACTGGGGCTCACTCCCATAGGGTTCAGTGTTAATCACTGAGGCTCACTCCCATAGGGTTCAGTGTTAATCACTGGGGCTCACTCCCATAGGGTTCAGTGTTAATCACTGGGTCTCACTCCCATAGGATTCAGTGTTAATCACTGAGACTCACTCCCATAGGGTTCAGTGTTAATCACTGGGGCTCACTCCCATAGGGTTCAGTGTTAATCACTGGGGCTCACTCCCATAGGGTTCAGTGTTAATCACTGGGGCTCACTCCCATAGGGTTCAGTGTTAATCACTGAGGCTCACTCCCATAGGGTTCACTCCCATAGGGTTCAGTGTTAATCACTGAGGCTCACTCCCATAGGGTTCACCCCCATAGGGTTCAGTGTTAATCACTGGGGCTCGCTCCCTTAGGGTTCAGTGTTAATCACTGGGACTCCCATAGGGTTCAGTGTTAATCACTGGGGCTCACTCCCATAGGGTTCACTCCCATAGGGTTCACTCCCATAGGGTTCACTTCCATAGGGTTCACTCCCATAGGGTTCACTCCCATAGGGTTCACCCCCATAGGGTTCACCTCCATAGGGTTCACCCCCATAGGGTTCACTCCCATAGGGTTCAGTGTTAATCACTGGGGCTCGCTCCCATAGGGTTCAGTGTTAATCACTGAGGCTCGCTCCCATAGGGTTCAGTGTTAATCACTGAGGCTCGCTCCCATAGGGTTCAGTGTTAATCACTGGGACTCCCATAGGGTTCAGTGTTAATCATTGGGGCTCGCTCCCATAGGGTTCGGTGTTAAGGCTCCGTGTCTTTCTCCCTCTCTGTGTCTGTGCAGGAGGAGAGGCGGGAAGTCTAAATGGGACCAGGTTGGAACCGGTCCGGAAGCAGGCCCTGGGCAAGTCCCAGGGTCAGGCCTTGGACCAGGCCTAGGATCAGGCCTCGGGTCCGGCCTGGCGCCAAGCCTGGGACCAGGCATGGGACCAGGCATGGGGTCAGGCCTAGGGCAAGGCCTCGGGTCAGGCCTTGGGCAAGTCCTCGGGTCAGGCCTTGGGCAAGGCCTAGGGTCAGGCCTAGGGCAAGGCCTCGGGTCAGGCCTTGGGCAAGGCCTAGGGTCAGGCCTGGGAGCTGGCTTGGGACAAGGCCTCGTTCCAGGCCTAGGGTCAGGCCTGGGAACTGGCTTTGGACAAGGCTTAGGGTCAGGCCTAGGGTCAGGCCTGGGAACTGGCTTGGGACAAGGCCTAGGGTCAGGCCTAGGGTCAGGCCTTGGGCAAGGCCTAGGTTCAGGCCTGGGAGCTGGGTTGGGACAAGGCCTCGTGTCAGGCCTAGGGTCAGGCCTGGGAGCTGGCTTGGGACAAGGCCTCGTTCCAGGCCTAGGGTCAGGCCTAGGGTCAGGCCTGGGAACTGGCTTGGGACAAGGCCTCGTTCCAGGCCTAGGGTCAGGCCTGGGAACTGGCTTGGGACAAGGCCTAGGGTCAGGCCTAGGGTCAGGCCTGGGACAAGGCCTAGGGTCAGGCCTAGGGTCAGGCCTGGCTGCTGCCATCTCCGTGGCCCAGGCCTTGGCAGCAGCAGCGGCAGCAGCTTCCACAGCGAACCTCAAGGCGAGTCTCATGGTGAGGACCACGGTGCCTGTGCCAGGCTAGGTGCACCTTGAGGGCTCGCTCAACCATGCATCCGCACACTCAACCACTCACAAACACAACCACACGCTCACCCACCCACTCAACTCACTCACCCACTCAACTCACCCACTCAACTCACACACTCACCTACTCACGCAACCACTCACCTACTCATTCATCCACACACCCACTCACACACTCACTCACACTCACCTACTCATTCATCCACACACTCACCCACTCACTCACACACTCACCTACTCATTCATCCACACACTCACCCACTCACACACTCACCCACACACTCACCCACCCACACACACACTCACCCACTCGCACTCACACACACACACTCACCTACTCGCACTCACCCACACACACTCACCTCACACACTCACCCACTCACTCAACCACTCACCCACACACTCATCCACACACTCACCCACTCACACACTCACCTCACTCAAACACCCACACACTCACTCAACCACTCACCCACTCACCCACACACTCACTCAACCACTCACTCACACACTCAACCACTCACTCACACACTCGCTCACACTCACCCACACACACACTCACCCACTCGCACTCACCCACACACCCACTCTTTCACTCACTCACCCACACACTCACCCACTCTTTCACTCACTCACACACTCACTCAACCACTCACTCACCCACACACTCACCCACTCGCACTCACCCACACACTCACTCAACCACTCACACACTCACCCACTCACCTCACTCACACACTCACCTACTCACGCAACCACTCACCCACTCATCCACACACTCACCCACTCACACACTCACCTCACTCACACACCCACAGACTCACTCAACCACTCACCCACACACTCAACCACTCACTCACACACTCGCTCACACTCACCCACACACACACTCACCCACTCGCACTCAACCACACACTCACCCACTCTTTCTCTCACTCACCCACACACTCACCCACACACTCACCCACTCTTTCACTCACACACTCAACCACTCACTCACTCACTCACACATTCACCCACACTCATCCACACACTCACACACACCCACTCACTCACCCACACACTCACCCACTCGCACTCACACACTCACTCACTCACCCACTCGCACTCACCCACACACTCACCCACACACTCACCCACTCACTCACACACACACTCACCCACTCGCACTCACCCACACACTCACACACACCCACTCACTCACACACACACTCACCCACTCGCACTCACCCACACAATCACCCACACACTCACCCACTCACTCACTCAACCACTCACTCACACACTCACCCACTCACTCACACACACACTCACCCACTTGCACTCACCCACACACTCACCCACACACTCACCCACACACTCACTCACCCACACACTCACTCACTCTTTCACACACTCACCCATGCATCCACTCACCCACCCATCCAACCACTCGTCCAGCCACTCACTCACCTACTCACAAATATATAATGAACACGTTCAGCAATAATAACATTACATGTGACTGTCTCCTCACGTCTCCCCATGTCTCCCCGTGTCTCCCCGTGTCTCCCCATGTCCCCCATGTCTCTCCATGTCCCCCCATGTCTCCTCATGTCTCCCCATGTCTCCCCATGTCTCCCCATGTCTCCCCATGTCTCCCCATGTCTCCCCATGTCTCCCCATGTCTCCCCATATCACCCCATGTCCCCCATGTCTCTCCATGTCTCCCCATGTCTCCCCGCGTCTCCCCATGTCTCCCCATGTCTCCCCATGTCTCCCCATGTCCCCCCATGTCTCCCCATGTCTCCCCATGTCTCTCCATGTCTCCCCGTGTCTCCCCCCATGTCTCCCCTCATGTCTCCCCCCATGTCCCCCCATGTCTCCTCATGTCTCCCCCCATGTCTCCCCATGTCTCCCCATGTCTCCCCCCATGTCTCCCCATGTCTCCCCATGTCTCCCCATGTCTCCACATGTCTCCCCATGTCTCCCCATGTCTCCCCATGTCTCCCCCCATGTCTCCCCGCATCTCCCCATGTCCCCCCATGTCTCCCCATGTCTCCCCATGTCTCCCCATGTCTCCCCCCATGTCTCCCCATGTCTCTCCATGTCTCCCCGTGTCTCCCCGTGTCTCCCCATGTCACCCCATGTCACCCCATGTCTCCCCATGTCTCCCCCCATGTCTCCCTCCATGTCCCCCTCCATGTCTCCCCATGTCTCCCCATGTCTCCCCGCGTCTCCCCATGTCTCCCCATGTCTCCCCATGTCTCCACATGTCTCCCCCCATGTCTCCCCCCATGTCTCCCCATGTCTCCTCCCATCTCCCCATGTCCCCCTCCATGTCCCCCACATGTCTCCCCATGTCCCCCCATGTCTCCCCATGTCTCTCCATGTCTCCACGTGTCTCCCCCCATCTCCCCCTATGTCTCCCCATGTCTCCCCACGTCTCCCCATGTCTCTCCATGTCTCCCCATGTCTCCCCATGTCTCCCCATGTCTCCCCCCATGTCTCCCCCCATGTCCCCCCCATGTCTCCCCATGTCTCCCCATGTCTCCCCCCGTCTCTCCCCATGTCTCCCCCCATGTCTCCACGTGTCTCCCCCCATCTCCCCCCATGTCTCCCCATGTCTCCTCCCATCTCCCCATGTCTCCCCATGTCCCCACCGTGTCTCCCCCCATGTCTCCCCATGTCTCCCCATGTCTCTCCATGTCTCCCCACGTCTCCCCATGTCTCTCCCCATGTCTCCCCATGTCCCCACCTTGTCTCTCCCCATCTCCCGCTATGTCTCCCCATGTCTCTCCATGTCTCCCCGTGTCTCCCCATGTCACCCCATGTCTCCCCATGTCTCTCCATGTCTCCCCGTGTCTCCCCATGTCACCCCATGTCTCCACGTGTCTCCCCATGTCTCTCCATGTCTCCCCATGTCTCTCCCCATGTCTCTCCCCATGTCTCCCCCCATGTCTCCACGTGTCTCCCCCTGTCTCTCCCCATGTCTCCCCCCATGTCTCCCCATGTCTCCCCATGTCTCTCCATGTCTCCCCCCATGTCTCTCCCCATGTCTCCCCCCATCTCCCCCCATGTCTCCCCATGTCTCCCCCCATGTCCCCCCCATGTCTCCCCGTGTCTCCCCGCGTCTCCCCATGTCCCCCCGTGTCTCCCCATGTCTCTCCCCATCTCCCCACCCACCCCCTCCTCCCACATCGCCCCCCTCATCCCAGCCGGAAGTCGCCTCGCGAGAGCGGCAACAGCCGGGCGGATCGGCGACACGGAGTGGCGGTGGTGGCGGTGGTGGTGGTGGCGGTGGTGGTGGCGGTGGTGGCGGTGGTGGCGGTGGTGGTGGTGGTGGCGGAGGGATTGGGGGGGGGCCGGAGGAGGCGGGGGGTGGAGCTGCTGCGCTGGACGCGGCCGCGGCCGCGGCTGCCCGCGTCACCGCCGCGTTGATGTCACGTGGCAAACTCCGCCAGCAACAGCAGCAGCAACAGCAGCAACAGCAACAGCAGGCGGCTGTGGTGGTGGTGAGAGCGGGGGGGGAGGTGGTGGTGGTGGTGGTGGTGGTGGTTGTGGTGGAGGTGGTGGTGGTGGAGGGGGGGGAGGTGGTGGTGGTGGAGGTGGTGGTGATGGTGGTGGTGGAGGTGGTGGTGATGGTGGTGGTGGAGGTGGAGGTGGTGGTGGAGGTGGTGGAGGTGGTGGTGGAGGTGGAGGTGGTGGTGGAGGTGGTGGTGGTGGTGGAGGTGGGGGTGGTGGTGGGGGTGGAGGTGGTGGAGGTGGTGGAGGTGGTGGTGATGGTGGTGGTGGAGGTAGTGGCGGTGGTGGTGGAGGTGGTGGTGGAGGTGGTGGAGGTGGTGGTGGAGGTGGAGGTGGTGGTGGAGGTGGTGGTGGAGGTGGTGGTGGTGGTGGAGGTGGTGGAGTTGGTGGTGATGATGCACGCGTTTGACTCCCCCCGTGTCTCTCTCTGTGTCTCCCCACTTGTCTCTCCGTGTCTCTCTCTGTGTCTCCCCACGTGTCTCTCTCCGTATCTCTCCCCCCGTGTCTCCCCACGTGTCTCTCCGTGTCTCTCTCTGTGTCTTCCCGTGTCTCTCTCCGTGTCTCCCCGTGTCTCCTTGTCTCTCCCCGTGCCTCTCTCCGTGTCTCTCTCTGTGTCTCCCCACGTGTCTCCCCACGTGTCTCTCCCCGTGTCTCCCCACATGTCTCTCCCCGTGTCTCCCCACGTGTCTCCCCCCGTGTCTCCCCCCGTGTCTCTCCCCGTGTCTCCCCCCGTGTCTCCCCCCGTGTCTCCCCCCGTGTCTCTCCCCGTGTCTCCCCCCGTGTCTCTCCCCGTGTCTCCCCCCGTGTCTCTCCCCGTGTCTCTCTCCGTGTCTCCCCCCGTGTCTCTCTCCATGTCTCCCCCCGTGTCTCCCCCCGTGTCTCTCTCCGTGTCTCCCCCCGTGTCTCCCCCCGTGTCTCCCCCCGTGTCTCTCTCCGTGTCTCCCCACGTGTCTCTGTGTCTCTCTCCGTGTCTCTCTCTGTCTCTCCGTGTCTCCCCCCGTGTCTCCCCCCGTGTCTCTCCCAGTGTCTCCCACCGTGTCTCTCCCCGTGTCTCCCCCGTGTCTCTCTCCGTGTCTCCCCCCGTGTCTCCCCCCGTGTCTCCCCCCGTGTCTCCCCCCGTGTCTCCCCCCGTGTCTCTCTCCGTGTCTCCCCACGTGTCTCTGTGTCTCTCTCCGTGTCTCTCTCTGTCTCTCCGTGTCTCCCCACGTGTCTCCCCACGTGTCTCCCCACGTGTCTCTCCCCGTGTCTCACCGTCTCTCCCCACGTGTCTCTCTCTGTGTCTCAGGGCATGCTGGGCGGTTTGTCTCCGCGTCTCGTCTCCCCGTGTCTCCCCACGTATCTCTCCCCGTGTCTCTCTACGTGTCTCTCTCCCCGTGTCTCTCTCCGTGTCTCCCCCCGTGTCTCACCGTGTCTCTCTCTCCCCGTGTCTCTCTCTGTGTCTCCCCACGTGTCTCTCTCCGTGTCTCACCGTGTCTCTCTCTCCCCGTGTCTCTCTCTGTGTCTCCCCACGTGTCTCTCCCCGTGTCTCTCCGTGTCTCTCTCCGTGTCTCACCGTGTCTCCCCATGTCTCTCCACGTGTCTCTCTCTGTGTCTCCCCACGTGTCTCCCCACGTGTCTCTCCCCGTGTCTCCCCCCGTGTCTCTCTCCCCGTGTCTCTCTCCCCGTGTCTCTCCCTGTGTCTCCCCACGTGTCTCTCTCTGTGTCTCAGGGCATGCTGGGCGGTTTGTCTCCGCGTCTCGTCTCACCGTGTCTCCCCACGTGTCTCTCTACGTGTATCACCGTGTCTCCCCGTGTCTCACCGTGTCTCTCTGTGTCTCCCCGTGTCTCCCCACGTGTCTCCCCGTGTCTCACCATGTCTCTCTGTGTCTCCTCACGTGTCTCTCCCCGTGTCTCTCTCTCTCCGTGTCTCTCTCTATGTCTCCCCCCGTGTCTCCCCCCGTGTCTCTCTCCGTGTCTCCCCACGTGTCTCCCCGTGTCTCTCCGTGTCTCCCCACGTGTCTCTCCCCGTGTCTCTCTCTCCCCGTGTCTCTCTCCCCGTGTCTCACCCACGTGTCTCACCCACGTGTCTCCCCACGTGTCTCTCTCTATGTATCCCCACGTGTTTCCCCACGTGTCTCTCCGTGTCTCCCCGTGTCTCCCCAAGTGTCTCTTCTCCGTGTCTCTCCCCGTGTCTCCCCAAGTGTCTCTTCTCCGTGTCTCTCCCCGTGTCTCTCCGTGTCTCTCTCCGTGTCTCACCGTGTCTCTCTCCATGTCTCTCTCCGTGTCTCACCGTGTCTCTCTCCATGTCTCTCTCCGTGTCTCCCCACGTGTCTCTCTCTATGTATCCCCACGTGTCTCCCCACGTGTCTCCCCACGTGTCTCACCGTGTCTCTCTCCCCACGTGTCTCTCTCTCCGTGTCTCTCTCCCCGTGTCTCTCTCACCCACGTGTCTTTCCCCGTGTCTCTCTCTCTCCCTGTGTCTCCCCACGTGTCTCCCCACGTGTCTCCCCACGTGTCTCACCGTGTCTCTCTGTGTCTCACCACGTGTCTCCCCACGTGTCTCTCTCTCCCCGTGTCTCTCTCCCCGTGTCTCTCTCTCTCCCTGTGTCTCTCTCTGTGTCTCTCCCCGTGTCTCTCTCTCCCCGTGTCTCTCTCACCACGTGTCTCCCCACGTGTCTCTCTCTGTGTCTCTCTCTCCACGTGTCTCTCTCCGTGTCTCTCTCACCCACGTGTCTCTCTCCCCGTGTCTCACCCACGTGTCTCTCCCCGTGTCTCTCTCACCCCCGTGTCTCACCCACGTGTCTCTCCCCGTGTCTCTCTCACCCACGTGTCTCCCCACGTGTCTCTCTCCGTGTCTCTCCCCGTGTCTCTCTCACCCACGTGTCTCTCTCACCACGTGTCTCCCCACGTGTCTCTGTGTCTCAGGGCATGCTGGGCGGTTTGTCTCCGCGTCTCGTCTCCCCGTGTCTCACCCACGTGTCTCCTCACGTGTCTCTCTCCGTGTCTTTCTCCGTGTCTCTCTCCGTGTCTCCCCACGTGTCTCCCCCCGTGTCTCACCCACGTGTCTCCCCACGTGTCTCCCCACGTGTCTCCCCGTGTCTCACCGTGTCTCCCCACGTCTCTCCCCGTGTCTCACCGTGTCTCCCCACGTGTCTCCCCACGTGTCTCACCGTGTCTCACCGTGTCTCTCTCACCATGTGTCTCTCTCCCCACGTGTCTCTCTCCCCACGTGTCTCTCTCCCCCCGTGTCTCTCTCACCATGTGTCTCTCTCCCCACGTGTCTCTCTCTCCCCGTGTCTCTCTCTCCCCGTGTCTCTCTCTCCCCGTGTCTCTCTCTCCCCGTGTCTCTCTCTCCCCGTGTCTCACCCACGTGTCTCTCCCCACGTGTCTCACCGTGTCTCTCTCACCACGTGTCTCTCTCCCCACGTGTCTCTGTGTCTCAGGGCATGCTGGGCGGTTTGTCTCCGCGTCTCGTCTCCCCGTGTCTCACCCACGTGTCTTCCCACGTGTCTCCCCACGTGTCTCTCCCCGTGTCTCTCTCACCCACGTGTCTCACCCACGTGTCTCTCCCCACGTGTCTCCCCACGTGTCTCTCTCACCACGTGTCTCTCTCCCCACGTGTCTCTGTGTCTCAGGGCATGCTGGGCGGTTTGTCTCCGCGTCTCGTCTCCCCGTGTCTCACCCACGTGTCTTCCCACGTGTCTCCCCGTGTCTCCCCGTGTCTCTCTCACCCACGTGTCTCACCCACGTGTCTCTCCCCACGTGTCTCCCCACGTGTCTCTCTCACCCCGTGTCTCTCTCCCCACGTGTCTCTCTCTGTGTCTCAGGGCATGCTGGGCGGTTTGTCTCCGCGTCTCGTCTCCCCGTGTCTCACCCACGTGTCTTCCCACGTGTCTCCCCGTGTCTCCCCGTGTCTCTCTCACCCACGTGTCTCACCCACGTGTCTCTCCCCACGTGTCTCCCCACGTGTCTCTCTCACCACGTGTCTCTCTCCCCACGTGTCTCTCTCTGTGTCTCAGGGCATGCTGGGCGGTTTGTCTCCGCGTCTCGTACCCGCGGCGGCGACAGCGGCGTCGTTTGTCCCCGTCCTGACGCCGGAGACAATGGTCGTGTCCGAGGTGGAGATCAACGACGTGCCAGCGGCCTGCAGAGACACGCTGACACGGGGACACGTCCAGGATGAGGTGAGACACCACGGGGAGACACGGGGGAGAGAGAGACAGGGGGAGAGAGACACCACGGGGAGAGAGACACGGGGAGAGAGAGACACGGGGGGAGAGAGACACGGGGAGACACGCTGACACGGGGACACGTCCAGGATGAGGTGAGACACCACGGGGAGACACGGGGGAGAGAGAGACAGGGGGAGAGAGACACACGGGGAGAGAGACACGGGGAGAGAGACACGCTGACACGGGGACACGTCCAGGATGAGGTGAGACACGGGGAGACACGGGGAGAGAGACACGGGGAGAGAGAGACACCACGGGGAGAGAGACATGGGGAGAGAGAGACACGGGGGGAGAGAGAGACGGGGAGAGAGAGACACGGGGGGAGAGAGAGAGACACGGGGAGAGAGAGAGACACGGGGAGAGAGAGACACGGGGTGAGAGAGACACGGGGAGACACGCTGACACGGGGACACGTCCAGGATGAGGTGAGACACCACGGGGAGACACGGGGGAGACACGGGGAGAGAGACACGGGGAGAGAGACACGGGGAGAGAGAGACACCACGGGGAGACACGGGGGAGACACCACGGGGAGAGAGAGACACGGGGAGAGAGAGACACTACGGGGAGACACGGGGGAGACACGGGGAGAGAGACACGGGGAGAGAGACACGGGGAGAGAGAGAGACACGTGGGGAGACACGTGGGGAGAGAGACACGGGGAGACGCGGGGAGACACGGGGAGACGGGGAGACACGCTGACACGGGGACACGTCCAGGATGAGGTGAGACACCACGGGGAGACACGGGGGAGACACGGAGAGAGAGACACGGGGAGAGAGAGACACGGGGAGAGAGAGACACGGGGAGAGAGAGACACGGGGAGAGAGAGACACGGGGAGAGAGACACGGGGAGAGAGAGACACGGGGAGAGAGACACAGGGAGAGAGAGACACGGGGAGACGCGGGGAGACACGGGGAGACGGGGAGAGAGACACGGGGAGAGAGAGACACGGGGAGACACGCTGACACGGGAACACGTCCAGGATGAGGTGAGACACGGGGAGACACGGGGAGACACGGGGAGAGAGAGACACGGGGAGACACGGGGAGACAGAGACACGGGGAGAGAGAGACACGGGGAGACACGGGGAGACGCGGGGGAGACACAGGGAGACACAGGGAGACTCGGGGAGACACGGGGAGACACGCTGACACGGGGAGAGAGAGACACGGGGAGACACGGGGAGAGAGACACGGGGAGAGAGACACGGGGAGAGAGACATGGGGAGAGAGACACGGGGAGAGAGAGACACGGGGAGAGAGAGACACGGGGAGAGAGACACGGGGAGAGAGACACGGGGAGAGAGATACAGGGAGACACTTTGACACGGGGACACGTCCAGGATTACGGTGAGACACGGGGAGACACGGGGGAGACACGGGGGAGACACGGGGGGAGATAGACACGGGGAGACGTGAGGAGACACGGGGAGACACGCTGACACGGGGAGAGAGAGACACGGGGAGAGAGACATGGGGAGAGAGAGACACGGGGAGAGAGACATGGGGAGAGAGAGACACGGGGAGAGAGAGACACGGGGAGAGACACAGGGAGAGAGACACGGGGACAGAGAGACACGGGGAGAGAGAGACACGGGGGAGAGAGAGACACGGGGAGAGAGAGACACGAGGAGACAGAGACACGGAGAGACAGAGACACGGGGAGAGAGAGACACGGGGAGAGAGACACGGGGAGGGAGACACGGGGAGAGAGAGACACGGGGAGAGAGACACGGGGAGAGAGAGACACGGGGAGACACGCTGACACGGGGACACGTCCAGGATGAGGTGAGACACGGGGAGACACGGGGAGAGAGAGACACGGGGAGAGAGAGACACGGGGAGACAGAGACACGGGGAGAGAGAGACACGGGGAGACATGGGGAGACACGGGGAGACACGGGGAGAGAGAGACACGGGGAGAGAGACACGGGGAGACAGAGACACGGAGAGAGAGACACGGGGAGACACGGGGAGAGAGACACGGGGAGACAGACACGGAGAGAGAGAGAGACACGGGGAGACACGCTGACACGGCGACACGTCCAGGATGAGGTGAGACACGGGGAGACACGGGGAGAGAGAGACACGTGGAGACACGGGGAGACACGGGGAGACACGCTGACACGGGGAGAGAGACACGGGGAGAGAGACACGGGGAGAGAGACACGGGGAGAGAGAGACACGGGAGACACGGGGAGACGCGGGGAGACACGCTGACACGGGGAGAGAGACACGGGGAGAGAGGGACACGGGGAGAGAGAGACACGGGAGACACGCTGACACGGGGACACGTCCAGGATGAGGTGAGACACGGGGAGACACGGGGAGACGCGGGGGGTGGGAGTTGGTGGTTATTAGTAAGCTGTGTGTAGATTAGTAAGCTGTGTGTATATTAGTAAGCTGTGTGTATATTGGTAAGCTGTATGTTGTGTGTAGATTGGTAAGCTGTCTGTATGTTAGTAAGCTGTGTGTTGTGTGTGGATTGGTAAGCTGTGTTGTGTGTATATTAGTAAGCTGTGTGTTGTGTGTGTGTTAGTAAGCTGTGTGTTGTGTGTATATTAGAAAGCTGTGTTGCTGTGTGTGTATTAGTAAGATGTGTGTTGTGGGTGGATTAGTAAGCTGTATTTTGTGTGTGTATATTGGTAAGCTGTATTTTGTGTGTATTAGTAACCTGTATTTTGTGTGTATTGGTAAGCTGTATTTTGTGTGTGTGTATTAGTAAGCTGTGTTGCTGTGTGTATATTAGCAAGATGTGTGTTGTGGGTGGATTAGTAAGATGTGTGTTGTGGGTGGATTAGTAAGCTGTGTGTGTGTTAGCGAGCTGTATTTTGTGTGCAGATTAGTAAGCTGTGTGTTGTGTGTGTGGATTAGAAAGCCGTGTGTATTAGTAAGCTCAATGTGTTGTGTATATTAGTAAGCTGTGTTACTGTGTTGTGTGTGGATTAGTAAGCTGTATGTTGTGTGTGGATTAGTAAGCTGTATTTTGTGTGTTGATTAGTAAGATGAGTGTTGTGTGTGTATTAGTAAGCTGTGTTTTTGTGTGTGGATTAGTAAGCTGTATGTTGTGTGTGGGTTAGTAAGCTGTGTTTTGTGTGTTGATTAGCAAGATGAGTGTTGTGTGTGTATTAGTAAGCTGTGTTTTTGTGTGTGGATTAGTAAGCTGGATGTTGTGTGTGGATTAGTAAGCTGTATTTTGTGTGTTGATTAGTAAGATGAGTGTTGTGTGTGTATTAGTAAGCTGTGTTTTTGTGTGTGGATTAGTAAGCTGTGTGTTGTGTGTGGGTTAGTAAGCTGTGTTTTGTGTGTGTATTAGTAAGCTGTGTTTTGTCTGTGTGGATTAGTAAGCTGTGTGTGTATTAGTAGGCTGAGTGTATATTGGCAAGCTGTATTTTGTGTGTTGATTAGTAAGATGAGTGTTGTGTGTGTATTAGTAAGCTGTGTTTTGTGTGTGTGGATTAGTAAGCTGTGTGTGTATTAGTCGGCTGAGTGTATATCGGTAAGCTGTATTTTGTGTGTGTAGATTAGTAAGCTGAGTGTTGTGTGTGTATTAGTAAGCTGTGTGTTGTGTGTGTGGATTAGTGAGCTGAGCGTGTGTGTATTAGTAAGCTATGTTACTGTGTGTGTAGATTGGTAAGCTGTGTGTTGTGTGTGTAAATTAGTAAGCTGTGTGTGTGGATTAGTGAGCTGAATGTGTGTGTATTGGTAAGCTATGTTACTGTGTGTGTAGATTGGTAAGCTGTGCGTTGTGTGTGGATTAGTGAGCTGAATGTGTGTGTATTAGTAAGCTGTGTTGCTGTGTGTGTGTAGATTAGTAAGCTGTGTTGTGTGTGTGGATTATTGAGCTGAATGTGTGTGTATTAGTAAGCTGTGTTACTGTGTGTGTGGATTAGTAAGCTGTGTTGTGTGTGTAGATTAGTAAGCTGTGTTGTGTGTGTGGATTGGTAAGCTGTGTGTTGTGTGTGTGGAATAGTAAGCCGAGTGTATATTGGTGAGCTGTATTTTGTGTGTGTGTATTGGTAAGCTGTATTACTGTGTGTGTAGATTAGTAAGCGGTGTGTTGTGTGTATTAGTAAGCTGTGTTACTGTGTGAGTGTATATTAGTAAGCTGTGTGTTGTGTGTAGATTAGTAAGCTATGTGTGTGTGTGGATTAGTGAGCTGAATGTGTGTGTATTAGTAAGCTGTGTTACTGTGTGTGTAGATTAGTAAGCTGTGTGTTGTGTGTGTGTTAGTAAGCTGTGTTACTGTGTGAGTGTATATTAGTAAGCTGTGTGTTGTGTGTAGATTAGTAAGCTGAGTGGAGCCTCCGTGTCTACACGTGGACGCTTCATGGGGCCGGAGGAGAGAAGTCGTGCCGACTTCTCATCCACACGGTGATCACCACCACCACCACAACCACCACCACAACCACCACAACCACCACCACAATCACCACCACAATCACCACAACCACCACAACCACTACCACCACCACAACCACCACCACCACAACCACAATCACCACAACCACCACAACCAGCACTACCACTACCACCACAACCACCACAACCACCACAACCACAACCACCACAACCAGCACTACCACCACAACCACTACCACAACCACCACCACCACAACCACCACCACCACAACCACCATGACCACTACCACCACTACCACTACAACCACCACAACCACAAACACCACTACCACAACCACCACCACAACCACCACCACCACAACAACCACCACAATCACCACAACCACCACAATCACCACAACCACCACCACAACCACCACAACCACAACAACCACCACAATCATCACAACCACCACTACCACAACCACCACCACAACCACCACAACCACCACCACCACTACAACCACCACAACAACCACCACCACAACCACCACCACAACCACAACAACAACCACCACTACCACCACAACTACCACTACCACCACCACAACCACCACAACCACAATCACCACAACCACCACAACCAGCACTACCACTACCACCACAACCAGCACAACCACCACAACCACCACCACTACCACAACCACCACTACCACCACAACCACCACAACCACCACTACAACAACCACCACTACCACAACCACCACAACCACCACAACCACCACCACCACAACCACCACCACAACCACCACCACTGCCACCACAACAATCACCACAACCACCACCAGAACCACAACCACTACCACCACCACCATAACCACCACCACAACCACTACCACCACAACCACCACCACTACCACAACCACTACCACCACAACCACCACCACAACCACCACTACCACAACCACCACCACAACCACCACAACCACCACTACAACCACCACAACCACCACAACAACAACAACCACTACCACAACCACCACAACAACCACCACAACCACCACAACCACAACAACCACCACCACAACCACCACAACAACAACCACTACAACCACCACAACCACCACCGCAACCACCACCGCAACCACCACCACAACTACCACCACCACAACCACAACAACAACAACCACCACTACCACAACTACCACAACCACCACCACCACAACCACCACAACAACAACCACCACTACCACAACCACCACAACCACCACAACCACCACCACAACCACCACAACCACCACCACAACCACCACCACAACCACCACCACAACCACCACAACCACCACCACAACCACCACCACAACCACCACTAGAACCCCAACTGGTCGATATTTTGTTATTAACCCGTGTCTCTCTCTCCCCGTGTCTCTCTCTCCCCGTGTCTCTCTCTCCCCGTGTCTCTCTCTCCCCGTGTCTCTCTCTCCCCGTGTCTCTCTCTCCCCGTGTCTCTCTCTCCCCGTGTCTCTCTCTCCCCGTGTCTCTCTCCCTGTGTCTCTCTCTCCCCGTGTCTCTCTCTCCCCGTGTCTCTCTCTCCCCGTGTCTCTCTCTCCCCGTGTCTCTCTCCCTGTGTCTCTCTCTCCCCGTGTCTCTCTCTCCCCGTGTGTCTCTCTCCCCGTGTCTCTCTCCCCGTGTCTCTCTCTCCCCGTGTCTCTCTCTCCCCGTGTCTCTCTCTCCCCGTGTCTCTCTCTCCCCGTGTCTCTCTCTCCCAGTGTCTCTCTCTCCCTGTGTCTCTCTCCCCGTGTGTCTCCCCGTGTCTCCCCCGTGTCTCCCCGTGTCTCCCCCCCGTGTCTCCCCGTGTCTCCCCCCCGTGTCTCTCTCCCCGTGTCTCCCCTGTGTCTCCCCTGTGTCTCCCCTGTGTCTCCCCGTGTCTCCCTGTGTCTCCCCTGTGTCTCCCCGTGTCTCCCTGTGTCTCCCCTGTGTCTCTCCGTGTCTCCACCGTGCAGCGAGGAGGAGCGTCCTCTCTACGTCTCTGTTCAGGGCTCTTCCCAAGAGGCAGTAGACAGTGAGCACAGCACAGCAGCAGCAGCAGCAGCTGGTGGTGGTGGTGGTTGTGGTGGTGGTGGTAGTGGTGGTAGTGGTGGTTGTGGTGGTTGTGGTGGTCGTTGTGATGGTTGTGGTGGTGGTTGTGGTGGTGGTTGTGGTGGTTGTGGTGGTGGTAGTGGTTGTGGTGGTGGTGATGGTTGTGGTGGTTGTGGTGGTGGTAGTGGTGGTTGTGGTGGTGGTGATGGTTGTGGTGGTTGTGGTGGTGGTAGTGGTGGTTGTGGTGGTGGTGGTGGTTGTGGTGGTGGTGGTTGTGGTGGTGGTGGTTGTGGTGGTGGTGGTTGTGGTGGTTGTGGTGGTGGTGGTTGTGGTGGTTGTGGTGGTGGTGGTTGTGGTGGTGGTGGTTGTGATGGTGGCTGTGGTGGTTGTGGTGGTGGTGATGGTTGTGGTGGTTGTGGTGGTGGTTGTGATGGTTGTGGTGGTGGTTGTAGTGGTTGTTGTGGTGGTGGTGGTGGTTGTCATGGTGGTGGTGTTTGTGGTGGTGGTTGTGATGGTGGTGGTGGTTGTTGTGGTTGTGGTGCTGGTGGTGGTTGCGGTTGTGGTGGTGGTTGTGATGGTGGTTGTGGTGGTTGTGATGGTTGTGGTTGTGGTAGTGGTTGTGGTGGTGGTTGTAGTGGTGGTTGTGGTGGTGGTGGTGGTTGTGGTGGTGGTTGTGGTGGTTGTGATGGTTGTGGTTGTGGTAGTGGTTGTGGTGGTGGTTGTGGTGGTGGTTGTGGTTGTGGTGGTGGTGGTGGTTGTGATGATGGTGGTTGTGGTGGTGGTTGTGGTAGTGGTGGTGGTGGTTGTGGTGGTGGTTGTGGTGGTGGTGGTTGTGATGGTGGTAGTTGTTGTTGTGGTGGTGGTGGTTGTGGTAGTGGTGGTGGTTGTGGTAGTGGTGGTGGTGGTGGTTGTGGTTGTGGTGGTAGTTGTGGTGGTGGTGGTGGTTGTGATGGTGGTAGTTGTTGTTGTGGTGGTGGTTGTGGTTGTGGTGGTTGTAGTGGTGGTGGTTGTGGTAGTGGTGGTTGTGGTGGTGGTGGTTGTGGTAGTGGTGGTGGTGGTGGTAGTGGTGGTGGTGGTGGTGGTGGTGGTTGTGGTAGTGGTGGTGGTGGTGGTAGTGGTGGTGGTGGTGGTTGTGGTAGTGGTGGTGGTGGTGGTTGTGGTAGTGGTGGTGGTGGTGGTGGTGGTTGTGGTAGTGGTGGTGGTGGTGGTAGTGGTGGTGGTGGTGGTGGTGGTGGTTGTGGTAGTGGTGGTGGTGGTGGTAGTGGTGGTGGTGGTGGTTGTGGTAGTGGTGGTGGTGGTGGTGGTGGTGGTGGTGGTTGTGGTGGTTGTGGTGGTTGTGGTTGTGGTGGTGGTGGTTGTGGTGGTTGTGGTGGTGGTGGTGGTTGTGGTGGTGGTGGTGGTTGTGGTTGTGGTGGTGGTGGTTGTGGTGGTTGTGGTGGTTGTGGTGGTGGTGGTGATGGTGGTGGTGGTAGTGGTGGTGGTGGTGGTGGTGGTGGTGGTTGTGGTGGTGGTGGTGGTGGTTGTGGTGGTTGTGGTAGTGGTGGTGATGGTGGTAGTTGTTGTTGTGGTGGTGGTGGTTGTAGTGGTGGTGGTGGTGGTGGTTGTGGTTGTGGTGGTGGTGGTTGTGGTGGTTGTGGTGGTTGTGGTGGTGGTGGTGATGGTGGTGGTGGTAGTGGTGGTGGTGGTTGTGGTGGTGGTGGTTGTGGTGGTGGTGGTGGTGGTTGTGGTGGTTGTGGTAGTGGTGGTGATGGTGGTAGTTGTTGTTGTGGTGGTGGTGGTTGTAGTGGTGGTGGTGGCTGTGTTTCTAACTGCGGTGTACCCTGCTGGTTGTACAGAAGCGGTGGAGCGGATCAAGGACGTGATCACCAACGCGTTCACGATCGAGGCCATCACCTCATCGTCATCGTCATCATCGTCATCGCCATCATCGTCCTGCAGAGTTCCACCCCACCACCAACCCCTCCTCCCACACCCCCCCACTATGGGGGCTTCCCCCCACCACCACCACCACCAACAGCAACAACAACAACAACAACACCACCACCACAACAACAACAGCAGCAGCAGTCAGCAGCAACAGCAGCAGCAGCAGCAGCCTATGGCTGCGTTGGGCATGGCAATTGGAAACATCATGAACCTTCAGGTGGGTGGGTGGGTGGGTGAGTGGGTGGGTGGGTGAGTGAGTGGGTGAGTCAGTGGGTGATTGAGTGAATGGATGGGTGAGTGAGTGGGTGGGTGAGTGAGTGGGTGGGTGGGTGGGTGAGTGGGTGGGTGAGTGAGTGAGTGAGTGGGTGGGTGAGTGGGTGAGTGAGTGAGTGGGTGGGTGAGTGGGTGGGTGAGTGGGTGAGTGACTGGGTGAGTGGGTGGGTGGGTGGGTGAGTGAGTGGGTGGGTGAGTGAGTGGGTGGGTGGGTGAGTGGGTGAGTGAGTGGGTGAGTGACTGGGTAGGTGGGTGAGTGAGTGGGTGGGTGGGTGAGTGAGTGAGTGAGTGGGTGGGTGAGTGGGTGAGTGGGTGGGTGAGTGGGTGAGTGACTGGGTGAGTGGGTGGGTGGGTGAGTGGGTGAGTGACTGGGTGAGTGGGTGGGTGGGTGGGTGAGTGAGTGGGTGGGTGGGTGGGTGAGTGGGTGAGTGAGTGGGTGAGTGGGTGGGTGAGTGGGTGAATGAGTGAGTGAGTGGGTGGGTGGGTGAGTGGGTGGGTGGGTGAGTGGGTGAGTGGGTGGGTGGGTGAGTGGGTGGGTGGGTGGGTGAGTGAGTGGGTGAGTCAGTGGGTGATTGAGTGAATGGGTGGGTGAGTGAGTGGGTGGGTGAGTGAGTGGGTGGGTGGGTGGGTGAGTGGGTGGGTGAGTGAGTGAGTGAGTGGGTGGGTGAGTGGGTGGGTGAGTGAGTGAGTGGGTGGGTGAGTGGGTGGGTGAGTGGGTGAGTGACTGGGTGAGTGGGTGGGTGGGTGGGTGAGTGAGTGGGTGGGTGAGTGAGTGGGTGGGTGGGTGAGTGGGTGAGTGGGTGAGTGAGTGGGTGAGTGACTGGGTAGGTGGGTGAGTGAGTGGGTGGGTGGGTGAGTGAGTGAGTGGGTGGGTGGGTGAGTGGGTGAGTGGGTGGGTGAGTGGGTGAGTGACTGGGTGAGTGGGTGGGTGGGTGGGTGAGTGGGTGAGTGACTGGGTGAGTGGGTGGGTGTGTGGGTGAGTGAGTGGGTGAGTGGGTGGGTGGGTGAGTGGGTGAGTGAGTGGGTGAGTGGGTGGGTGAGTGGGTGAATGAGTGAGTGAGTGGGTGAGTGGGTGGGTGGGTGAGTGGGTGAGTGGGTGGGTGGGTGAGTGAGTGGGTTAGTGGGTGAGTGAGTGAGTGGGTTAGTGGGTGAGTGAGTGGGTGAGTGAGTGAGTAGGTGAGTGTGTAGGTGAGTGAGTGAGTGGGTGGGTGAGTGAGTGGGTGAGTGAGTGAGTAGGTGAGTGAGTGAGTAGGTGAGTGAGTAGGTGAGTGAGTGAGTGAGTAGGTGAGTGAGTGAGTAGGTGAGTGAGTAGGTGAGTGGGTGAGTGAGTGAGTGAGTGGGTGGGTGAGTGAGTGAGTGGGTGGGTGGGTGAGTGGGTGAGTGGGTGGGTGAGTGGGTGAGTGACTGGGTGAGTGGGTGGGTGGGTGGGTGAGTGGGTGAGTGACTGGGTGAGTGGGTGGGTGGGTGGGTGAGTGAGTGGGTGAGTGGGTGGGTGGGTGAGTGGGTGAGTGAGTGGGTGAGTGGGTGGGTGAGTGGGTGAATGAGTGAGTGAGTGGGTGAGTGGGTGGGTGGGTGAGTGGGTGAGTGGGTGGGTGGGTGAGTGAGTGGGTTAGTGGGTGAGTGAGTGAGTGGGTTAGTGGGTGAGTGAGTGGGTGAGTGAGTGAGTAGGTGAGTGTGTAGGTGAGTGAGTGAGTGGGTGGGTGAGTGAGTGGGTGAGTGAGTGAGTAGGTGAGTGAGTGAGTAGGTGAGTGAGTAGGTGAGTGAGTGAGTGAGTAGGTGAGTGAGTGAGTAGGTGAGTGAGTAGGTGAGTGGGTGAGTGAGTGAGTGAGTAGGTGAGCGAGTGAGTAGGTGAGTGAGTGAGTAGGTGAGTGAGTGAGTAGGTGAGTGAGTAGGTGAGTGAGTGAGTGAGTGAGTAGGTGAGGGAGTGTGTGAGTGAGTGAGTGTGTGAGTGAGTAGGTGAGTGAGTGAGTGAGTGTGTGAGTGAGTGTGTGAGTGAGTAGGTGAGTGAGTAGGTGAGTGTGTGAGTGAGTGTGTGAGTGAGTAGGTGAGTGAGTAGGTGAGTGAGTGAGTGGGTGAGTGAGTGGGTGAGTGAGTGAGTGAGTAGGTGAGTGAGTGAGTGTGTGAGTGAGTGGGTGAGTGAGTGAGTGAGTGGGTGAGTGAGTGAGTGAGTGGGTGAGTGAGTAGGTTAGTGAGTGAGTGAGTGGGTGAGTGAGTGAGTTAGTGAGTGAGTTAGTGAGTGAGTGGGTGAGTGAGTAGGTGAGTGAGTTAGTGAGTGAGTGAGTGAGTGGGTGAGTGAGTGAGTGAGTGGGTGAGTGAGTGAGTAGGTGAGTGAGTGAGTGAGTAGGTGAGTGAGTGAGTGAGTGGGTGAGTGAGTGAGTGAGTAGGTGAGTGAGTGAGTCAGTGGGTGAGTGAGTGAGTTAGTGGGTGAGTGAGTGTGTAGGTGAGTGATTGAGTGGGTGAGTGAGTGGGTGAGTGAGTGGGTGAGTGAGTGAGTGAGTTGGTGAGTGAGTGGGTGAGTGAGTGAGTGTGTAGGTGAGTGAGTGGGTGAGTGAGTGGGTGAGTGAGTGAGTGAGTTGGTGAGTGAGTGGGTGAGTGAGTGGGTGAGTGAGTGAGTGTGTAGGTGAGTGAGTGGGTGAGTGAGTGGGTGAGTGAGTGAGTGAGTGGGTGAGTGAGTGAGTGAGTGGGTGAGTGAGTGAGTAGGTGAGTGAGTATGTGAGTGAGTGAGTGAGTGGGTGAGTGAGTGAGTGAGTGGGTGAGTGAGTGAGTGGGTGAGTGAGTGAGTGAGTGGGTGAGTGAGTGAGTGAGTGTGTGGGTGAGTGAGTGAGTGAGTGGGTGGGTGAGTGGGTGAGTGAGTGGGTGAGTGAGTGGGTGAGTGAGTGAGTGAGTGGGTGAGTGAGTGAGTGAGTGGGTGAGTGAGTAGGTGAGTGAGTAGGTGAGTGAGTGGGTGAGTGAGTGAGTGGGTGAGTAGGTGAGTGAGTGAGTGGGTGAGTGAGTGGGTGGGTGAGTGGGTGAGTGAGTGAGTGAGTGGGTGAGTGAGTGAGTGGGTGGGTGAGTGAGTGAGTGGGTGGGTGAGTGAGTGAGTGGGTGAGTGAGTGAGTGGGTGAGTGAGTGAGTGAGTGGGTGAGTGAGTGAGTGGGTGAGTGAGTGAGTAGGTGAGTGAGTGAGTGAGTGCTCTGCTAACAGCCCTTGCCCCACCATTGTGTCTCTCTCTCCGTGCCCCCCACAACCCGTGCCCCCCCCCACCCAGCAGGCTTCCGCGTCTCCGCGCCCCCCACTTCTACCCCTGCCCGGCTTCACCCCTCCGGCCCCCCAAACGGGGGGCTCACGCGGGGTGAGAGCCATACTTCACCACCAAGCGTACGCACGTGTTCGGGGGGTGGGGGGCAGGGGAGACAAAGGCGGCCGGGCGTGGTGGTGCTGGCCACCCACCCCCTCTGTGTGTGTAGCCACAGTGCCGGTAGCCTTCATAGGTGCAGCACTTGCCCCTACAGCCTGCTAGAGGCTACCTGGTGGAGCTTTGTCTGTGTGTGTCTAACACTGCACTTGCCCCTACAGCCCTGTTAGAGGCTACCTGGGGGAGATTTGTCTGTGTGTGTCTAACACAGCACTTGCCCCTACAGCCCTGCTAGAGGCTACCTGGGGGAGCTTTGTATGTGGGTGTCTAACACTGCACTTGCCCCTACAGCCCTGCTAGAGGCTACCTGGGGAGCTTTGTGTGTGTCTAACACTGCACTTGCCCCTACAGCCCTGCTAGAGGCTACCTGGGGGAGCTTTGTCTGTGTGTGTCTAACACTGCACTTGCCCCTACAGCCCTACTAGAGGCTACCTGGGGAGCTTTGTGTGTGTCTAACACTGCACTTGCCCCTACAGCCCTGCTAGAGGCTACCTGGGGGAGCTTTGTCTGTGTGTGTCTAACACTGCACTTGCCCCTACAGTCCTGCTAGAGGCTACCTGGGGGAGCTTTGTGTGTGTCTAACACTGCACTTGGCCCTACAGCCCTGCTAGAGGCTACCTGGGGGAGCTTTGTCTGTGTGTGTCTAACACTGCACTTGCCCCTACAGCCCTGCTAGAGGCTACCTGGGGGAGCTTTGTGTGTGTCTAACACAGCACTTGCCCCTACAGCCCTGTTAGAGGCTAGCTGGGGGAGCTTTGTCTGTGTGTCTAACACAGCACTTGCCCCTACAGCCCTGCTAGAGGCTACCTGGGGGAGCTTTGTCTGTGTGTGTCTAACACTGCACTTGCCCCTACAGCCCTGCTAGAGGATACCTGGGGGAGCTTTGTCTGTGTGTGTCTAACACTGCACTTGCCCCTACAGCCCTGTTAGAGGCTACCTGGGGGAGATTTGTCTGTGTGTGTCTAACACAGCACTTGCCCCTACAGCCCTGCTAGAGGCTACCTGGGGGAGCTTTGTATGTGGGTGTCTAACACTGCACTTGCCCCTACAGCCCTACTAGAGGCTACCTGGGGAGCTTTGTGTGTGTCTAACACTGCACTTGCCCCTACAGCCCTGCTAGAGGCTACCTGGGGGAGCTTTGTCTGTGTGTGTCTAACACTGCACTTGCCCCTACAGTCCTGCTAGAGGCTACCTGGGGGAGCTTTGTGTGTGTCTAACACTGCACTTGGCCCTACAGCCCTGCTAGAGGCTACCTGGGGGAGCTTTGTGTGTGTCTAACACTGCACTTGCCCCTACAGCCCTGCTAGAGGCTACCTGGGGGAGCTTTGTGTGTGTCTAACACTGCACTTGGCCCTACAGCCCTGCTAGAGGCTACCTGGGGGAGCTTTGTCTGTGTGTGTCTAACACTGCACTTGCCCCTACAGCCCTGCTAGAGGCTACCTGGGGGAGCTTTGTCTGTGTGTGTCTAACACTGCACTTGGCCCTACAGCCCTGCTAGAGGCTACCTGGTGGAGCTTTGTCTGTGTTGGCGAGAGAGTGAGTGGCCATCGAGATGTTGACTACCTCGCCTGGTCTACAGGAGGTCGTGGGTCCCTAACTAGAGATGTTGACTACCTCGCCTGGTATACAGGAGGTCGTGGGTTCTGACGAGAGATGTTGACTACCTCGCCTGGTCTACAGGAGGTCGTGGGTCCCTGACTAGAGATGTTGACTACCTCGCCTGGTCTACAGGAGGTCGTGGGTCCCTGACTAGAGATGTTGACTACCTCGCCCGGTCTACAGGAGGTCGTGGGTCCCTGACGAGAGATGTTGACTACCTCGCCTGGTCTCCAGGAGGTCGTGGGTCTCTGACTAGAGATGTTGACTACCTCGCCAGGTCTACAGGAGGTCGTGGGTCCCTGACGAGAGATGTTGACTACCTCGCCTGGTCTACAGGAGGTTGTGGGTCTCTGACTAGAGATGTTGACTACCTCGCCTGGTCTACAGGAGGTCGTGGGTCTCTGACTAGAGATGTTGACTACCTCGCCTGGTGTACAGGAGGTCGTGGGTCTCTGACTAGAGATGTTGACTACCTCGCCTGGTCTCCAGGAGGTCGTGGGTCTCTGACTAGAGATGTTGACTACCTCGCCTGGTCTACAGGAGGTCGTGGGTCCCTGACGAGAGATGTTGACTACCTCGCCTGGTCTACAGGAGGTCGTGGGTCCCTGACTAGAGATGTTGACTACCTCGCCTGGTCTACAGGAGGTCGTGGGTCCTGACGAGAGATGTTGACTACCTCGCCTGGTCTACAGGAGGTCGTGGGTCCCTGACTAGAGATGTTGACTACCTCGCCTGGTCTACAGGAGGTCGTGGGTCCCTGACGAGAGATGTTGACTACCTCGCCTGGTCTACAGGAGGTTGTGGGTCCCTGACTAGAGATGTTGACTACCTCGCCTGGTCTACAGGAGGTCGTGGGTCCCTGACGAGAGATGTTGACTACCTCGCCTGGTCTACAGGAGGTCGTGGGTCCCTGACGAGAGATGTTGACTACCTCGCCGGGTATACAGGAGGTCGTGGGTCCCTGACTAGAGATGTTGACTACCTCGCCTGGTCTACAGGAGGTCGTGGGTCCTGACGAGAGATGTTGACTACCTCGCCTGGTCTACAGGAGGTCGTGGGTCCCTGACGAGAGATGTTGACTACCTCGCCTGGTCTACAGGAGGTCGTGGGTCCCTGACTAGAGATGTTGACTACCTCACCTGGTCTACAGGAGGTCGTGGGTCTCTGACTAGAGATGTTGACTACCTCGCCTGGTCTACAGGAGGTCGTGGGTCCCTGACTAGAGATGTTGACTACCTCGCCTGGTCTACAGGAGGTCGTGGGTCCCTGACTAGAGATGTTGACTACCTCGCCTGGTCTACAGGAGGTCGTGGGTCCCTGACTAGAGATGTTGACTACCTCGCCTGGTCTACAGGAGGTCGTGGGTCCCTGACTAGAGATGTTGACTACCTCGCCTGGTATACAGGAGGTCGTGGGTCCCTGACGAGAGATGTTGACTACCTCGCCTGGTCTACAGGAGGTCGTGGGTCCCTGACGAGAGATGTTGACTACCTCGCCGGGTATACAGGAGGTCGTGGGTCCCTGACTAGAGATGTTGACTACCTCGCCTGGTCTACAGGAGGTCGTGGGTCCCTGACGAGAGATGTTGACTACCTCGCCTGGTCTACAGGAGGTCGTGGGTCCCTGACTAGAGATGTTGACTACCTCGCCTGATCTACAGGAGGTCGTGGGTCCCTGACTAGAGATGTTGACTACCTCGCCTGGTCTACAGGAGGTCGTGGGTCCCTGACGAGAGATGTTGACTACCTCGCCTGGTCTACAGGAGGTCGTGGGTCCCTGACTAGAGATGTTGACTACCTCGCCTGGTCTACAGGAGGTCGTGGGTCCCTGACGAGAGATGTTGACTACCTCGCCTGGTCTACAGGAGGTCGTGGGTCCTGACAAGAGATGTTGACTACCTCGCCTGGTCTACAGGAGGTCGTGGGTCCCTGACGAGAGATGTTGACTACCTCGCCTGGTCTACAGGAGGTCGTGGGTCCCTGACTAGAGATGTTGACTACCTCGCCTGGTCTACAGGAGGTCGTGGGTCCCTGACGAGAGATGTTGACTACCTCGCCTGGTCTACAGGAGGTCGTGGGTCCCTGACTAGAGATGTTGACTACCTCGCCTGGTCTACAGGAGGTCTTGAGTCCTGACGAGAGATGTTGACTACCTCGCCTGGTCTACAGGAGGTCTTGAGTCCTGACTAGAGATGTTGACTACCTCGCCTGGTCTACAGGAGGTCGTGGGTCCTGACGAGAGATGTTGACTACCTCGCCTGGTCTACAGGAGGTCGTGGGTCCTGACGAGAGATGTTGACTACCTTCCCTGGTCTACAGGAGGTCGTGGGTCCTGACTAGAGATGTTGACTACCTCGCCTGGTCTACAGGAGGTCGTGGGTCCCTGACTAGAGATGTTGACTACCTCGCCTGGTCTACAGGAGGTCGTGGGTCCCTGACTAGAGATGTTGACTACCTCGCCTGGTCTACAGGAGGTCGTGGGTCTCTGACTAGAGATGTTGACTACCTCGCCTGGTCTACAGGAGGTCGTGGGTCCCTGACTAGAGATGTTGACTACCTCGCCTGGTCTACAGGTGGTCGTGGGTCCTTGACGAGAGATGTTGACTACCTCGCCTGGTCTACAGGAGGTCGTGGGTCCCTGACTAGAGATGTTGACTACCTCACCTGGTCTACAGGAGGTCGTGGGTCTCTGACTAGAGATGTTGACTACCTCGCCTGGTCTACAGGAGGTCGTGGGTCCCTGACTAGAGATGTTGACTACCTCGCCTGGTCTACAGGAGGTCGTGGGTCCCTGACTAGAGATGTTGACTACCTCGCCTGGTCTACAGGAGGTCGTGGGTCCCTGACTAGAGATGTTGACTACCTCGCCCGGTCTACAGGAGGTCGTGGGTTCTGACTAGAGATGTTGACTACCTCGCCCGGTCTACAGGAGGTCGTGGGTCCCTGACGAGAGATGTTGACTACCTCGCCTGGTCTACAGGAGGTCCTGGGTTCTGTCACGACCCTGACGATGCCTGCCGCTGCTGTAGATGTTGGGGAGTCTGCAGAGTCTCATCATCATCATCACCACGCCCCTCCCCCCCATGCCCCTCCCCCAACGCCCCTCCCCCCACGCCACGCCCCTCCCCCCACGCCCCTCCCCCCACGCCCCTCCCCCCACGCCCCTCTCCCCCCGCCCCTCCCCCCACGCCCCTCCCCCCACGCCCCTCCCCCAACGCCCCCCCCTGCCCCTCCCCTCACGCCCCTCACACCTCTCCCCCCATGCCCCTCCCCCAACGCCCCCCCCCTGCCCCTGCCCCCACGCCCCTCCCCCCACGCCACGCCCCTCCTCCCACGCCCCTCCCCTCCACGCCCCTCCCCCCACGCCTCTCCCGCCACGCCCCTCCCCCAACGCTTCTCCCGCCACGCCCCTCCACGCCCCTCCCCTCACGCCCCTCCCCTAACGCCCCTCCCCCCCCCCACGCCCCGCCCCCCCGTGCCCCTCCCCCCCCGTGCCCCCAGCTTCACTACGTGCAGGCGAAGTTGTTCGTGGGTCTGGAGCACGCCCGGGCAGACTTCGCCGTCTCGCGCAGAGTCGCCGGACCGCAGGTGGGGGTGGGGGGTGGGGGGAGGTGGGGTGGGGGTGGAGTGGGGGTGGGGGTGGGGTAGGGGTGGAGTGGGGGTGGGGTGGGGGTGGAGTGGAGGTGGGGTGGGGGTGGGGAGGGGTGGGGAGGGTTGGGGAGGGGATGGGGAGGGGAGGGTGGGGAGGGAGGGGGGTGGGGTAGGGGTGGGGGTGGGGGTGGGGTAGGGGTGGGGGTGGGGTAGGGGTAGGGGTGGGGTAGGGGTGGGGGTGGGGTAGGGGTGGCGTAGGGGTGGGGAGGGGTGGGGTAGGGAGGGGTGGGGTGGGGGTGGGAGGGTTGGGAGGGAGGGGGGGGGTGGGGAGGGGGGGGGTGGGGAGGGGGGGGTGGGGAGGGGGGGGGTGGGGAGGGGGGGTGGGGAGGGGTGGGGAGGGGAGGGTTGGGAGGGAGGGGGGGGGTGGGGAGGGGGGGGGTGGGGTGGGGTGGGGGTGGGAGGGTTGGGAGGGAGGGGGGGGGTGGGGAGGGGAGGGGCCATACTTCATTCCTCGTCTCGTGCACTTGCACGCGGGTCCCACACGCACCGTACGCACACTGTATACACACTGTACACAGGCCCTTTGTGGCACTGTACATCGACTCTATACATACTGTACGTATACTGCACATGGAGTATGTATACTGTACGTAGACTGTATGTAGACTGTGTGTATACTGTGTGTATACTGTATGCATACTTTATATAGACTGTACGTAGACTGTATGTATACTGTATACAGACTGTACGTATACTGTATATAGACTGTATGTATACTGGATGTATACTGTACATATACTGTACGTATACTGTGTGTGTACTGTATATAGACTGTATGTATACTGTCTGTATACTGTATATAGACTGTATGTATACTGTATGTATACTGTATATGGACTGTATGTATACTGTATATAGACTGTATGTATACTGTATATAGACTGTATGTATACTGTATATAGACTATATAGACTGTATGCATACTGTATGTATACTGTATATAGACTGTATATAGACCGTATGTATACTGTATATAGACTGTATGTATACTGTATGTATACTGTATATAGACTGTATAGACTGTATGTGTACCGTATGCATACTGTATATAGACTGTATGTATACTGTATATAGACTGTATGTATACTGTATATAGACTATGTATACTGTATATAGACTGTATGTATACTGTATATAGACTATGTATACTGTATATAGACTATGTATACTGTATGTATACTGTATATAGACTGTATGTATACTGTATATAGACTGTATGTATACTGTATATAGGCTGTATGTGTCTGCAGGGGTCGTACCTGGCCCACATACAGAAGGAGACTGTGTATACTGTATGTATACTGTATGTATACTGTATATAGACTGTATGTGTCTGCAGGGGTCGTACCTGGCCCACATACAGGAGACTGTGTATACTGTATATAGACTGTATGTATACTGTATATAGACTGTATGTCTGCAGGGGTCGTACCTGGCCCACATACAGAAGGAGACTGTTTATAGACTGTATGTATACTGTATGTATACTGTATATAGACTGTATGTAGACTGTATATAGACTGTATGTGTCTGCAGGGGTCGTACCTGGCCCACATACAGAAGGAGACTGTGTATACTGTATGTATACTGTATATAGACTGTATGTGTCTGCAGGGGTCGTACCTGGCCCACATACAGAAGGAGACTGTGTATACTGTATGTATACTGTATGTATACTGTATATAGACTGTATGTGTCTGCAGGGGTCGTACCTGGCCCACATACAGAAGGAGACTGTGTATACTGTATGTATACTGTATGTATACTGTATATAGACTGTATATAGACTGTATGTGTCTGCAGGGGTCGTACCTGGCCCACATACAGAAGGAGACTATGTATACTGTATGTGTCTGCAGGGGTCGTACCTGGCCCACATACAGAAGGAGACTGGTGCCCGTGTCCACCTGGGAGGACGGGGGTCGGGATTCCTGGAGCCCACGTCAGGAAGGGAGGCGTTCCAGCCACTCCACATCTACATCAGGTGAGACACTCACCACACACTCACTCACTTACACACTCACCTACCCACCCAGCCACTCACTCACACACTCACTCACTCAGCCACTCACCCACTCACTCACTCAGCCAGCCACTCACTCACTCACTCACCTAGCCGCTCACTCAGCCACTCACTCAGCCACTCACTCAGCCACTCACTCAGCCGCTCACTCAGCCACTCACTCAGCCACTCACTCAGCCACTCACTCGGTTACTCACTCAGCCACTCACTCACACACTCACTCACTCAGCCACTCACTCAGCCACTCACCCACCCAGCCACTCACCCACTCACTCACTCAGCCACTCACTCAGCCACTCACCCACCCAGCCACTCACCCACTCACTCAGCCACTCACTCACCCACTCACTCAGCCAGCCACTCACTCACCCACCCAGCCACTCACCCACTCACTCACTCAGCCACTCACTCACCCACTCACTCACCCAGCCACTCACTCACCCACTCACTCACCCAGCCACTCACTCACCCACTCACTCACCCAGCCACTCACTCAGCCACTCACTCACCCAGCCACTCACCCACTCACTCACCCACTCACTCACCCAGCCACTCACTCAGCCACTCACTCACCCAGCCACTCACTCACCCACTCAGCCACTCACCTAGCCGCTCACTCACCCACTCAGCCAGCCACTCACTCACCCACTCAGCCACTCACTCACCTACCCACTCAGCCACTCACTCAGCCACTCACTCACCCACTCACTCAGCCAGCCACTCACTCAGCCACTCACTCAGCCAGCCACTCACTCACCCAGCCGCTCACCCACTCACTCACCTAGCCGCTCACCCACTCAGCCACTCACCTAGCCGCTCACTCACCCACTCAGCCAGCCACTCACTCAGCCGCTCACTCACTCAGCCACTCACTCACCCACTCACTCAGCCAGCCACTCACCCACTCACTCAGCCAGCCGCTCCACATCTACATCAGGTGAGACGCTCACCACTCACTCACTCACCTAGCCGCTCACTCACTCACTCAGCCAGCCACTCACTCACCCACTCAGCCAGCCACTCACTCACCCACTCACCCACTCACTCAGCCAGCCGCTCACTCACACACTCACTCACCCACTCACCTACCCACTCAGCCACTCACTCAGCCACTCACCTAGCCGCTCACTCAGCCACTCAATCAGCCGCTCACTCAGCCACTCACTCAGCCAGCCACTCACCCACTCACCCACTCACCCACTCACTCACCCACTCACCCACTCACTCACCCACTCACTCACCCAGCCACTCACTCAACCACTCACTCACCCATCCACTCACTCAGCCACTTACTCAGCCGCTCACCCACCCACTCACCCACTCACTCACTCAGCCAGCCACTCACTCACTCACTCACCCAGCCACTCACTCACTCACCCACTCACTCACCCACTCACTCACCCACTCACTCACCCACTCACTCACTCACCCACTCAGCCAGCCGCTCACCCACTCACTCACTCACCCACCCACTCACCCACTCACTCACCCACTCACTCACCCACTCACTCAGCCAGCCACTCACCCAGCCACACACTCACTCACACACACACTCACACACTCACCCACTCTCACACACACTCACACAGTCACACACTCACCCACTCTCACTCACTCACCCACTCACTCACTCATCCAACCGCTCACTCACTCACTCACACACTCACTCACCCACTCACTCACCCACTCACTCACTCACCCACCCACTCACTCACTCACCCACTCACTCACCCACTCACTCACTCACTCACCCACTCACTCACCCACTCACTCACTCACCCACTTACTTGCTCACCCACCCACTCACTCACTCACCCACTCACTCACCCACCCACTCACTCACTCACTCACCCACTCACTCACCCACTCACTCACCCACTCACTCACACACTCACACACTCACCCACTCACCCACCCACTCACTCACTCACACACTCACACAATCACCCACTCACCCACCCACACACTCACCCACCCACTCACCCACTCACCCACTAACCGTGTCTCCTCGTGTCTCCGTGTCTCCCCGTGTCTCCGTGTCTCCGTGTCTCCCCGTGTCTCCGTGTCTCTGCGTCTCCGTGTCTCCGTGTCTCTGCATCTCCGTGTCTCCGTGTCTCCCCGTGTCTCCCCGTGTCTCCCCGTGTCTCCGTGTCTCCGCGTCTCTGTGTCTCCGTGTCTCCGTGTCTCCCCGTGTCTCCGTGTCTCTGCGTCTCCGTGTCTCCCCGTCTCCGTGTCTCTGTGTCTCCGCGTCTCTGTGTCTCCGTGTCTCTGCGTCTCCGTGTCTCCGTGTCTCCCCGTGTCTCCGTGTCTCTGCGTCTCCGTGTCTCCCCGTCTCCGTGTCTCTGTGTCCCAGTCACCCAAGAGCCGAGGGTCTGGCAGCTGCTAAGACCCTTTGTGAAAACCTCCTACAGACGGTGAGCCACAACAACCACCACCACCACAACCACCACAACCACTACCACCACCACTACCACAACCAGCACCACAACCACTACCACCACCACAACCACAACCACCACCACAACAACCACCACCACAACCACCACCACCAACACAACCACAACAACCACCACCACAACCACCACTACCACCACCACTACCACCACCACAACAACCACCACCACAACCACCACCACCAACACAACCAGAACAACCACCACCACCACAACCACCACCACAACCACCACAACCACCACCACAACCACCACCACAACCACTACTACCACTACCACCACCACAACCACAACAACCACCACAACCACCACCACAACCACCACAACCACAACAACCACCACCACCACAACCACCACCACTACTAACACCACAACCACCACTACAACCACAACCACCACCACAACCACCACAACCACCACCACAACCACCACCACCACAACCACTACCACAACCACCACAACCACCACCACAACCACCATCACAACCACCACAACCACTACCACAACCACCACCACAACCACCACAACCACCACCACAACCACCACCACCACCACCACCAGCACCACCACAACCAGCACCACCACAACAACCACCACAACCACCACAACCACCACCACAACCACCACCACAACCACCACTACCACCACCACAACCACCACCACAACCACCACCACAACCAGCACTACCACCACCACCACAACCACCACAACCACTACTAACACCACCAACACTACTACCACTCTTACCACCACTACCACCACTTCCACTACCACCACAACCACCACCACCACCACTACCACCACAACCACCACAACCACCACTACTAACACCACAACCACCACTACTAACACCACAACCACCACAACCACCACCACAACCACCACCACCACAACCACCACCACAACCACCACCACTACTAACACCACTACTAACACCACAACCACCACTACCACCACCACTACCACCACCACCACAACCACCACAACCACCACTACTACCACCACCACAACCACAACCACCACAACTACAACCACCACCACAACCACCACCACCAACACAGCCACCATCACTACCACTCTTACCACCACAACCACCACCGCTACCACAACCACAACCACCACTACTACCACCATCACCACCACTACCACCACCACAACAACCACAACCACCACCACCACAACCACCACCACAACCACCACTACCACCACAACCACCACCACAACCACCACTACCACCGCTACCACAACCACCACAACCACCACCGCTTCCACTACTTCCACTACCACCACAACCACCACAACAACCACAACCACCACCACCACAACGACCACCACCACCACAACCCCCACCACCACCACAACCACCACCACTACCACCACCACTACTACCACAACCACCACCACCACTACCACCACCACCACCACAACCACCACAACCACCACTACCACCACAACCACCACCACCACCACCACAACCACCACCACCACCACAATCCCCACCACCACCACAACCACCACCACCACAACCACCACCACCACCACAACCACCACCACTACCACCACCACTACTACCACAACCACCACCACCACGACCACCACCACCACAACCACCACAACCACCACTACCAGCACAACCACCACCACTACCACCACAACCACCACCACCACAACCACCACCACCACAACCACCACCACCACAATCCCCACCACCACCACAACCACCACCACCACAACCACCACCACCACAATCCCCACCACCACCACAACCACCACCACCACAACCACCACCACCACAATCCCCACCACCACCACAACCACCACCACCACCACTACCACCACCACCACTACCACTGTGTGTAGGGGTTAGCGCTACGCTGCGCTATGAACCCGGTGACCAGAGTTTGATTCCCGCTCACGTCCAACACCACCAGTGACGATTTTTTTAACCGGTCCTGGGCCTCCCCTAGGTCGACTCAGCCTCAAATGAGAGTTGCTGCTGTAGCAGTGGTGTAGTGAACATCGCTAGCACTGGGGGAGAGACAAAGGCGGCCGGGCATGGTGGTGCTGGCCGGCCACCCCCTCTGTGTGTGTAGCCACAGTGCCGGTAGCCTTCATAGGTGCAGCACTTGCCCCTACAGCCCTGCTAGAGGCTACCTGGGGGAGCTTTGTCTGTGTGTGTCTAACATTGCACTTGCCCCTACAGCCCTGCTAGAGGCTACCTGGGGGAGCTTTGTCTGTGTGTGTCTAATAATGCACTTGCCCCTACAGCCTGCTAGAGGCTACCTGGGGGAGCTTTGTCTGTGAGTGTCTAACACTGCACTTGCCCCTACAGCCCTGCTAGAGTCTACCTGGGGGAGCTTTGTCTGTGTGTGTCTAACACTGCACTTGCCCCTACAGCCCTGCTAGAGGCTACCTGGGGGAGCTTTGTCTGTGTGTGTCTAACACAGCACTTGCCCCTACAGCCCTGCTAGAGGCTACCTGGGGGAGCTTTGTCTGTGTGTGTCTAACACTGCACTTGCCCCTACAGCCCTGCTAGAGGCTACCTGGGGGAGCTTTGTCTGTGTGTCTAACACTGCACTTGCCCCTACAGCCTGCTAGAGGCTACCTGGGGGAGCTTTGTCTGTGTGTGTCTAACACAGCACTTGCCCCTACAGCCCTGCTAGAGGCTACCTGGGGGAGCTTTGTCTGTGTGTGTCTAACACAGCACTTGCCCCTACAGCCCTGCTAGAGGCTACCTGGGGGAGCTTTGTCTGTGTGTGTCTAACACTGCACTTGCCCCTACAGCCTGCTAGAGGCTACCTGGGGGAGCTTTGTCTGTGTGTACATCATAGGTGCTCGCTAACAGCACTTGCCCCTACAGTCTATTACAGGCTATATGGGGGATCTTTGTCTTTGTGTGATTGTGTATGACTGTTTGTGTGTCTGTGTGTGTGTCTGTGTGTGTGTGTGTTTGTGTGTGTGTGTTTGTGTGTGTCTGTGTGTGTGTCTGTCTGTGTGTGTGTTTGTGTGTGTCTGTGTCTCTCTATGTGTCACTGTGTGTCTCTCTGTGTGTCTGTGTGTCTTTATGTGTCTGTGTGTGTGAGTGTCTGTGTTTTTCTGTGTGTTTGTGTGTGTGTGTGTCTCTGTGTGTCCGTGTGTGTCTGTGTGTGTCTCTGTGTGTCTGTGTATGTGAGTGTCTGTGTTTCTTTGTGTTTCTGTGTGTCTGTGTGTGTCTGTGTGTAGGTGCACAGTGAATATTGCAAATTTGAAGAGCAGATGACCAACACACACATACACAATGGTGAGAGCCACTCACCCGCTCACCCACCCACTCACCCACCCGCTCACCCACCCGCTCACCCACCCGCTCACTCACCCGCTCACCCACCCGCTCATCCACTCGCTCATCCACTCCCTCACCTACTCACCCACCCACTCACTCACACAACCACTCACCCACCCACTCACTCACCCACTCACTCACTCACTCACCCACTCACTCACTCAGATACTCACTCAGCTACTCACCCACCCACTAACTCACTCACCCACCCACTCACTCACACAACCACTCACCCACCCACTCACTCACCCACTCACTCACTCACCCACTCACTCACGCAGATACTCACTCAGCTACTCACTCACCCACTAACTCACCCACCCACTCACTCACCCACTCACTCACTCACTCACCCACTCACTCACTCAGATACTCACTCAGCTACTCACTCACCCACTAACTCACTCACTCACCCACTCACCCACTCACTCACCCACTCACTCACTCACCCACTCACTCAGCTACTCACTCACCCACTAACTCACTCACCCACCCACTCACCCACCCACTCACTCACCCACTCACTCACCCACTCACTCACCCACTCACCCACCCACTAACTCACCCACTCACCCACCCACTCACCCACCCACCAAAGTGTTGAATGTGAATCGATGTTAATGCTGGTGATGTTGGTGATGGTGTGGTGAGCAGTGTATGCTCACCATCCCTACGCCTCACCCGCATCTCAACCAGCCTACGAATATCAACCCTCCACTCACCACACACCTTATCAGCCGGTGAGCTCACTCGCCACACACTCACCACTCATACACGCACTCAGCAAAACACACCACTCACTCACCCACTCACACACTCACACACTCACTCACCCACTCACACACTCACACACTCACTCACACACTCACACACTCACTCGCTCACACACTCACTCACCTACTCACTCACTCACACACTCACTCACACACTCACTCACACACTCACTCACCTACTCACTCACCCACTCACACACTCATTCACACACACACTCACTCACACACTCACCCACTCACACACTCACCCACTCACACACCCACTCACTCACCCACTCACACACTCACACACTCACTCACTCACTCGCACACTCACTCACTCACACACTCCCTCACACACTCACTCACTCACACACTCACACACTCACTCGCTCACACACTCACTCACCTACTCACTCACTCACACACTCACTCACACACTCACTCACACACTCACTCACCTACTCACTCACCCACTCACACACTCATTCACACACACACTCACTCACACACTCACCCACTCACACACTCACCCACTCACACACCCACTCACTCACCCACTCACACACTCACACACTCACTCACTCACTCGCACACTCACTCACTCACACACTCACTCACACACTCGCACACTCACTCACACACTCACCCACTCACTTACTCACCCACTAGCTCACTCACTCACTCACACACTCACTCACCCACTCACACACTCACCCACTCACTCACTCACACACTCACTCACACACTCGCACACTCACTCACACACCCACTCACTCACACACTCACTCACACACCCACTCACACACACTCACTCACACACACACTCACTCACTCACACACTCACTCACCCACTCACACACTCACTCACACACTCACACACTCACTCACCCACTCACACACTCACACACTCACTCACCCACTCACACACTCACCACTCACTCACTCACTCACACACTCACTGACCTACTCACTCACCCACTCACACACTCATTCACACACTCACTCACTCACACACACACCCACTCACACACTCACACACTCACTCACACACTCACTCACACACTCACTCACACACTCACTCACCTACTCACTCACTCACCCACTCACGCACTCACCCACTCACCCACTCACACACTCACACACTCACTCACACACTCACTCACACACTCACTCGCACACTCACACACTCACACACTCACTCACACACTCACACACTCACTCACACACTCACTCACTCACACACTCACACACTCACTCACGCACTCACTCACTCACACACTCACACACTCACTCACACACTCACTCACTCACACACTCACTCACTCACACACACTCACTCACACACTCACTCACTCACACACTCACCCACACACTCACTCACTCATTCATCCACCACTCACCTCCCCACTCACTCACCCTCCCACTCACCCACTCACCCACTCACTCACTCACCACTCACTCACTCACCACTTACTCACCACTCACTCACCACTCACTCATCACTCACTCACCCACTCACCCTCCCACTCACTCACCCACTCACTCACTCACCACTCACTCACTCACCACTTACTCACCACTCACTCACCACTCACTCATCACTCACTCACCCACTCAACCTCCCACTCACTCACCCACTCACTCACTCACCACTCATCACCCTCCCACTCACTGACACACTCACTCACCCATCACAGAGAGGGGCTACCCACCCACCACAGTGAGACCACCCACCCACCACAGAGTGACTACCCACCCACCACAGAGACTACCCACCCACCACAGAGAGTCTACCCACCCACCACAGAGACTACCCACCCACCACAGAGAGACTACCCACCCACCACAGAGTGACTACCCACCCACCACAGAGAGACCACCCACCCACCACAGAGACTACCCACTCACCACCCACCACAGAGAGACTACCCACCCACCAGAGAGACTACCCACCCACCACACAGAGACTACCCACCCACCACAGAGAGACCACCCACCCACCACAGAGAGACTACCCACCCACCACAGATAGACTACCCACCCACCACAGAGACTACCCACCCACCACAGAGAGACTAGCCACCCACCACAGAGACTACCCACCCACCACAGAGACTACCCACCCACCACAGAGAGACTACCCACCCACCCACCACAGAGACTACCCACCCACCACAGAGACTACCCACCCACCACAGAGATTACCCACCCACCCACCACAGAGACTACCCACCCACCCACCACAGAGACTACCCACCTACCACAGAGACTACCCACCCACCACAGAGACTACCCACCCACCCACAGAGACCACCCACCCACCACAGAGACTACCCACCCACCACAGAGACTACCCACCCACCACAGAGACTACCCACCCACCCACCACAGAGACCACCCACCCACCACAGAGAGACTACCCACCCACCACAGAGACTACCCACCCACCACAGAGACTACCCACCCACCCACCACAGAGACAACCCACCCACCACAGAGACTACCCACCCACCACAGAGACTACCCACCCACCACAGAGACTACCCACCCACCCACCACAGAGACTACCCACCCACCCACCACAGAGACCACCCACCCACAGAGACCACCCACCCACCACAGAGACTACCCACCCACCCACCACAGAGACCACCCACCCACCCACAGAGACTACCCACCCACCCACAGAGACTACCCACCCACCACAGAGACTACCCACCCACCCACCACAGAGACTACCCACCCACCCACCACAGAGACTACCCACCCACCCACCACAGAGACTACTCACCCACCACAGAGACTACCCACCCATCCACCACACAGAGACTACCCACCCACCACAGAGACTACCCACCCACCCGCCCACCACAGAGACTACTCACCCACCCACCACAGAGACTACCCACCCACCACAGAGACCACCCACCCACCACAGAGACTACCCACCCACCCACCACAGAGACTACCCACCCACCACAGAGACCACCCACCCACCCACCCACAGAGACCACCCACCCACCACAGAGACTACCCACCCACCCGCCCACCACAGAGACCACCCACCCACCACACAGAGACTACCCACCCACCCACCACAGAGACTACCCACCCACCACAGAGACTACCCACCCACCCACCACATAGAGACCACCCACCCACCACAGAGAGACTACCCACCCACCACAGAGACTACCCACCCACCACAGAGACTACCCACCCACCCACCACAGAGACCACCCACCCACAGAGACCACCCACCCACCACAGAGACTACCCACCCACCCACCACAGAGACCACCCACCCACCCACAGAGACTACCCACCCACCCACAGAGACTACCCACCCACCACAGAGACTACCCACCCACCCACCACAGAGACTACCCACCCACCCACCACAGAGACTACCCACCCACCCACCACAGAGACTACCCACCCACCCACCACAGAGACTACCCACCCACCCACCACAGAGACTACCCACCCACCCACCCACCACAGAGACTACCCACCCGCCCACCACAGAGAGGGGGGGGCTCCCCACCCACCCACCCACCCCCTTGGTAACGCTTTTCCCTCTTCCCCCCCTGCCCCCCTACCCACGTTGCACACCAGCCACCTCTCTGTGTGCCCTCCCTTGGACCCCCCAATACAGCTACAGCTGTAGCAGCAGCAGCAGCAGCAGCTACAGCTACACATCCTGCTGCTACTGCTGTACCAGCAGTGGTCGTAGAAGGGGGAGGAGCCGTGGGCGGCGCCGTGGGCGGGGCCGGCGTCGTGGGAGGAGCCCGGGGTGGGGTAGGGGGAGTGGCCGGGGGCGTGGGAGGGGCCGGTTGGGTGGGAGGAGCCGGCGGGGTGGGCGGGGCCGGGGGCGGGGTCTCGGCCCAGAAGAGGCGGTTCCGCGAGGAGGAGGAGTTGGAGGAGGAGCTTGCGGAGGGGCTCCTGGGATACAAGGTGAGAGAGGGGGTGGGGGGAGACACGGGGGGGGGGGGGGAGAGACACGGGAGGAGAGACACGGGGAGGGGAGAGACACGGGGAGACACGGGGAGAGAGACACGGGGGGAGAGACACGGGGAGAGAGACACGGGGAGAGAGACACGGGGAGAGAGACACGGGGGGAGAGACACGGGGAGAGACACGGGGAGACACGGGGAGACACGGGGAGACACGGGGAGACACGGGGAGAGACAGGGGGAGACACGGGGAGACACGGGGAGAGACACGGGGGGGGAGAGACACGGGGAGACACGGGGAGAGAGACACGGGGGGAGAGACACGGGGAGACACGGGGAGAGAGACACGGGGGGAGAGAGACACGGGGAGAGAGACACGGGGAGAGAGAGACACGGTGAGACACGGGGGGGGGAGAAACACGGGGAGACACGGGGAGAGAGACACGGGGAGACACGGGGAGATACACGGGGGGGGAGAGACACGGGGAGACACGGGGAGAGAGACACGGGGAGAGAGACACGGGGAGACACGGGGAGAGAGACACGGGGGGAGAGAGACACGGGGAGAGAGACACGGGGAGAGAGAGACACGGTGAGACACGGGGGGGGGAGAAACACGGGGAGACACGGGGAGAGAGACACGGGGAGACACGGGGAGAGACATGGGGGGGGAGAGACACGGTGAGAGAGAGACACAGGGAGAGAGAGACACGGTGAGACACGGGGAGAGACACGGGGGGGGGAGAGACACAGGGAGACACGGGGGGAGAGACATGGGGAGGGGAGAGACACAGGGAGACACGGGGGGAGAGACACGGGGAGAGAGACACGGGGGGAGAGACACGGGGAGAGACACGGGGAGACACGGGGAGACACGGGGAGAGACAGGGGGAGACACGGGGAGAGACAGGGGGAGACACGGGGAGACACGGGGAGATACACGGGGGGGGAGAGACACGGGGAGACACGGGGAGAGACACGGGGGGGGAGAGACCCGGGTAGACACGGGGAGAGACACGGGGGGGGAGAGACACGGTGAGAGAGAGACACGGGGAGAGAGAGACACGGTGAGACACGGGGAGACACGGGGAGAGACACGGGGGGGGGAGAGACACGGTGAGAGAGAGACACGGGGAGAGAGAGACACGGAGAGACACGGGGAGAGAGACAGGGAGAGAGAGACACGGGGAGAGAGAGACACGGGGAGAGAGAGACAGGGAAAGAGACACGGGGAGAGAGAGACACGGGGAGAGAGAGACAGGGAGAGAGACACGGGGAGAGAGAGACACGGGGAGAGAGACAGGGAGAGAGAGAGACACGGGGAGAGAGAGACACGGTGAGAGAGAGACACGGGGAGAGAGACACGGGGAGAGAGAGACACGGGGAGGGGAGAGACACGGGGAGAGAGAGACACGGGGAGAGAGAGACACGGGGAGAGAGAGACACGGGGAGAGAGAGACACGGGGAGAGAGAGACACGGGGAGAGAGAGACACGGGGAGGGAGAGACACGGGGAGAGAGAGACACGGGGAGAGAGAGACACGGGGAGAGAGAGACACGGGGAGACACGGGGAGACGGGGGGGAGAGACACGGGGAGAGACTGGGGGAGAGACACGGGGGGAGAGACAGAGAGAGACACGGGGGGGGGGGAGACACGGGGGGAGAGACACGGGGTGAGAGACACGGGGAGAGAGACACGGGGAGAGAGACATGGGGAGAGAGACACGGGGAGAGAGACACGGGGAGAGAGACACGGGGAGAGAGAGACACGGGGAGACACGGGGGGAGAGACAGAGAGAGACGGGGAGAGAGAGAGAGACACGAGGAGTCATGGGGAGAGAGACACGGGGAGAGAGACAGAGAGAGACGGGGAGAGAGAGACACGGGGAGAGAGACACGGGGAGAGAGACACGGGGAGAGAGACACGGGGAGAGAGACACGGGGAGAGAGACACGGGGAGAGAGACACGGGGAGAGAGAGACACGGGGAGAGAGAGACACGGGGAGAGAGAGACACGGGGAGACACGGGGGGAGAGACACGGGGGGAGAGACACGGGGGGAGAGACAGAGAGAGACGGGTAGAGAGAGAGAGAGACGGGGAGACACGGGGAGAGAGACACGGGGAGAGAGAGACACGGGGAGGGGAGAGACACGGGGAGACACGGGGGGAGAGACACGGGGGGAGAGACAGAGAGAGACACGGGGAGAGAGAGAGAGACACGGGGGGGGGAGAGACACGGGGAGACCCGGGAGAGAGACACGGGGAGACACGGGGTGAGAGACACGGGGAGAGAGACACGGGGAGAGAGACACGGGGAGAGAGAGACACGGGGAGAGAGAGACACGGGGAGAGAGAGACACGGGGAGAGAGAGACGCGGGGAGAGAGAGACACGGGGAGGGAGAGACACGGGGAGAGAGAGACACGGGGAGAGAGAGACACGGGGAGAGAGAGACACGGGGAGACACGGGGAGACGGGGGGGAGAGACACGGGGAGAGACTGGGGGAGAGACACGGGGGGAGAGACAGAGAGAGACACGGGGGGGGGGGGGGAGACACGGGGGGAGAGACACGGGGTGAGAGACACGGGGAGAGAGACACGGGGAGAGAGACACGGGGAGAGAGACACGGGGAGAGAGACACGGGGAGAGAGACACGGGGAGAGAGAGACACGGGGAGACACGGGGGGAGAGACAGAGAGAGACGGGGAGAGAGAGAGAGACACGAGGAGACACGGGGAGAGAGACACGGGGAGAGAGACAGAGAGAGACGGGGAGAGAGAGAGACACGGGGAGACACGGGGAGAGAGACACGGGGAGAGAGACACGGGGAGAGAGACACGGGGAGAGAGACACGGGGAGAGAGACACGGGGAGAGAGAGACACGGGGAGAGAGAGACACGGGGAGAGAGAGACACGGGGAGACACGGGGGGAGAGACACGGGGGGAGAGACAGAGAGAGACGGGGAGAGAGAGAGAGACACCGGGAGACACGGGGAGAGAGACACGGGGAGAGAGACACAGGGAGAGAGAGACACGGGGAGGGGAGAGACACGGGGAGACACGGGGGGAGAGACACGGGGGGAGAGACAGAGAGAGACACGGGGAGATAGAGAGAGACACGGGGGGGGAGAGACACGGGGAGACACGGGAGAGAGACACGGGGAGACACGGGGTGAGAGACACGGGGAGAGAGACACGGGGAGAGAGACACGGGGAGAGAGAGACACGGGGAGAGAGAGACACGGGGAGAGAGAGACACGGGGAGAGAGAGACACGGGGAGAGAGAGACACGGGGAGACACGGGGAGACAGGGGGGGGGGGATACACGGGGGGGGAGAGAGACACGGAGAGACACGGGGAGAGACACGGGGAGACACGGGGAGAGAGACAGGAGGGAGAGAGAGACACGGGGAGAGAGAGACACGGGGAGACACGGAGAGACACAGGGAGAGAGAGACACGGGGAGACATGGAGAGACACAGGGAGAGAGAGACACGGGGAGAGAGAGACGGGGGGAGACACGGGGAGAGAGAGACACGGGGAGAGACACGGGGAGACCCGGGGAGATGGGGGGGGGGAGACACGGGGGGGGAGAGAGACACGGAGAGACACGGGGAGAGAGACACGGGGGGAGAGAGACACAGGGAGACATGGAGAGACACGGGGAGAGAGAGACACGGGGAGACGGGGGGGGGAGACACGGGGCGGGGAGAGAGACACGGAGAGACACGGGGAGAGAGAGACACGGGGAGACACGGAGAGACACGGGGAGAGAGAGACGGGGAGAGAGAGACACGGGGAGAGAGAGAGACACGGGGAGAGAGACACGGGGGGAGAGAGACACGGGGAGACACGGAGAGATACGGGGAGAGAGAGACACGGGGAGACAGAGACACGGGGAGAGAGAGACACAGGGAGAAAGAGACACGGGGAGAGAGAGACACGGGGTGGGGAGAGAGATGGGGAGACACAGAGAGAGACACGGGGAGAGAGAGACACGGGGAGAGAGAGACGCGGGGAGAGAGAGACGCGGGGAGGGAGACACGGTGAGAGAGAAACACGGGGAGAGAGACAGGGGGGGAGAGAGACACGGGGAGAGAGAGACACGGGGAGAGAGACACAGGGAGAGAGACACGGGGAGAGAGAGAGAGACACGGAGACACGGGGAGAGAGAGAAATGGGGAGAGAGAGACACGGGGAGAGAGACACGGTGAGAGAGAGACACGGGGAGAGAGACACGGGGAGAGAGACACGGGAAGAGAGACACAGGGAGAGAGAGACACGTAGGGAGAGTAGCCGAGTGAGTGGCCGAGTGAGTGGCTGAGTGAGTGGCTGAGTTAGTAGCTGAGTAGCTGAGTGAGTAGCTGAGTGAGTGGCTGGTGAGTGGCCGAGTGAGTGGCCCAGTGAGTGGCCGAGTGAGTGGCTGAGTGAGTGGCTGGGTGAGTGGCTGGGTGAGTGGCTGGGTGAGTGGCTGAGTGAGTGGCTGGGTGAGTGGCTGAGTTAGTAGCTGAGTGGCTGAGTGGCTGAGTGAGTAGCTGAGTGAGTGGCTGGTGAGTGGCCGAGTGGCCGAGTGAGTGGCTGAGTGAGTAACTGAGTGAGTGGCTGAGTGAGTGGCTGAGTGAGTGGCTGGTGAGTGGTCGAGTGAGTGGCCGAGTGAGTGGCCGGGTGAGTGGCCGGGTGAGTGGCCGAGTGAGTGGCCGGGTGAGTGGCTGGTGAGTGGTCGAGTGAGTGGCCGAGTGAGTGGCCGAGTGAGTGGCCGAGTGAGTGGCCGAGTGAGTAACTGAGTGAGTGGCTGAGTGAGTGGCTGGGTGAGTGGCTGGGTGAGTGGCTGAGTG